TCATACCTCGACCAGTGGAAGTCGTGGTGCGAGGATCGCTATGTTGCCAACCGAAGACCAGTTGTACCTCGACCATTTGTAGGGAATCCAGAGTAATATATGGACGACATTCTCATGACCTGCGAGAACAGCCTCCTGATGAAGACGAAGACAATGAGGAATTATCGTAGTCAGATATTCGGCTCCTGTACCTACTACCTCATCCTCGGGCCCTCTAGAAGTCTGGGGATCTCAAGTTTCGTCGTCGTCGTATGATGTCGTGATGTAGTTAACCATGTCCGTTGTCATCCTGATGTCATTAGTCCTGGACGTTGTCGTCCTGGTGACAACGGCGATCTAGTCGGTTTTGATTGTCGCTATCATGACAATGTTGATTGTTGCATTAGATGTCGAGAGATTGCTCAACCGACTGGTCGAGGACCAGGAGTAGGCGTATCTCGATCACCTGAAGATGAATATTTAGGTGGTGAGAGATCGCTACGATGTACTGGTCGAGAACCAGGTGTAGGAGTATCTCGATCACCTATGAATTTTTAGGTGGTGAGAAATCGCTACGATCTACTGGTCGAGAATCAGGTGTAGGCGTATCTCGATCACCTATGAATTTTTTAGGTGGTGAGAGATCGCTACGATCTACTGGTCGAGGACCAGGTGTAGGCGTATCTCGATCACCTATGAGTTTTTTAGGTGGTGAGAGATCGCTACGATCTACTGGTCGAGGACCAGATGTAGGCGTATCTCGATCACCTGGAGATGAATTTTTAGTGGTGAGAGATCGCTACGATCTACTGGTCGAGAACCAGGTGTAGGCATATCTCGATCACCTATGCATTTTTAGGTGGTGAGAGATCGCTACGATCTACTGGTCGAGAACCAGGTGTAGGCGTATCTCGATCACCTGGAGGGGCGCTAGAGTTGGTGATTACATGTTCATCTCATGTGGCCAGCATGACTCACATACCCAACATATAGCACATCCGGATGTCTATTCGCAATCATGTCGGTTGATCAAGCCGACGGCGTTCGCGAGGAATTATCCGTTAACAACCTTTTCTCAAATAGTCCAGCCGTATGCGGCGCTATACATGAGATAAGTCGTCAGTCTTTGTTGGTCGGTTGGGTGCGACAACTCAGCATTATTCGAGAACGTTCTTGATAATGGGGTGTACTCGACCACATCCTACTCGAGTGCTCAATTGTTCCTGAAAAATATTTCCTAGAAGACAAGATATATAGCAGAGAATATCGAGTATGCACTCAAAAAGCTGCTTGAACCTTCTAGTATTATCATGATATAACGAGCAAATTAAATATCAGTCATTATGTAAACCATAAACAAGCATGATTTATACATATGAAAATAGAGCGAGCCCCCAGTATTAAACCGTAGTTGGCTTAATATTAGAAACACTCGCACAATAAATATTGTATAAAAAACACGCTCTAGGAAAACATAAAATAAATTATTGATCTAACAATATTGTATAATCTTGAAAATAGGTACGTTAAATTGCATATAAAATATTGCGTGACTGTGTAGATACATGCCGGATATATCTACGAAATAGTAGATTAAACTTAATCTACCAAATACCTTGGATGATTGGGTCACGTTCTGTTTTGGTACATGTATGTGTAGTGATACTATTTAGATGTGAATACATCTAACAGTACAGCCGCACCTAGGTGAAATCTCCAAACTCCCGACGCATAGCAGTTAGCTTGCTGTGTGCTTTTATCCAACACGTGTACGTATATGTTCCGAGTAGGACTGGCTGCGTTCTTTCCACAAGTTTCCCGACCCCTTTCCCTCGTTTTCCACGTGCACGCTTTTCAAACTGCTAAATGGTGTGTTTTTTTGCAAAAAGTTTCTATACGAAAGTTGCTTTAAAAAAACAAATTAATCCATTTTTGAAAAAAAAATTAACTAATACTTAATTAATCACACGCTAATGGACCGCTCCGTTTTCCATGCGGTGGAGTTGGGTTCCCAACCCCAAGTATCAAACACAGCCTGATCAAGCCGGTAGGCAACTCGTCGAAACTTTCTTGGATTTAATGGTACTCGATGAACAGAAGCATATGGCCCGATATCCTCTCGTAGTTTTTGGCAGCGACCATTCCAATCTTGTCGGGGACGTAGTCTGGTCAGGTTACATCTCCCAGGTCCAAAGTTATTGAAGTATCCATCGCCGGAAGCGGTGATGGCTTAACAAAGCTTGAGATGACGAGGGCCCCGATCCACCGAAGTCATTGAGTAATTGGATTGTGGATATTATGGGTACCCCATACCCATAAGGCATGGTTATCCGACTAGTTATAGGGGATAACTTATATTTATGTAATATGTAACAGATCATGACTTGGGTGTTACGTTTCCTTGTATATTACGGAACGGCCTAAAGTCCTGGTTTGATAATATTGTAAAGTAGATTTAGGAAACCGATACCGTATTGGTTAAGGTTTCTATCTTGTAATCCTGCCCCCCATCCTATATAAGGTGGGCAGGAGGCCCTCTAGGGGGCAGATGAGACAACCTGATCGTCAGATCAATACACACCCGGCGGATTCAAATCCCCAAACAGGAGTAGGGTATTACCTCTCATTGAGAGGGCCTGAACCTGTCTAAATCTTTTGTCTCCACATCCATCCACTTTTAGGTCTCGTGCGCTACCCCGTTTTATTATTGCCGAATTCATGTTTCGACATGGATAATCCATCTCTTGAACCCATCTCGTCGAAACCATGAAGCACCAAAAGAGCCCATACCTGACGCGCAACTGTCGACGTTTGATATCGCGACTACGACATTTTAATGGTACGGGGATCGTTGGTACCAGGGTATATGTGAGATTGAGGTAAAAGAGATGGAGATAGGGATTTTTATACAGATTCGGACCCCTTATCTGACAGGTAATAGCTCTACATTTTGTTGGCCAAAGCCGGTGTTGCTCTTTGTTCAACTGGATCACACAAATACAATATTTGGGATAACCTATCTAGCTATCGTCGACTTGGCGGCTAGATAACCAACTCGTAGTCGATGACAGCGTAGTCTTCCTCCTCGAATCCATACTCGGCGAGATCAGAGATGGCGCCAGATCCCTCTTGCCGGCTTTGGTATGCACCGGATGGTGTATGTTTAGGCTTATCTCTAATGTTGATATCCGGCGACTTGTCTTGACGTATATTGGCTTGTGTATTGTGCATCTATGATGGGTGTGTCCCCTCTCCTCCTAGGAAGACTTGTATTTATACCCATAGATGACCCCTTGTCCAAGTAAGATTAGGGTGTCAAGTATGGATACGATCCGAGTAGTCCATATAGTTTCCATATAGAACTCTATTCGTCCTTTCTTATCTGGACCTCCTTCTATATACGAGATTTGTTTCTGTATAAGACATGATATATGGTGGGCCCTACCGAGGTTAATCAATTACTATTGGATATATGGTATTTATAACCCTGACAAATAACTTATATCTTTTAAATCGCATATTGTTTTTAAGATCTATTTGCATCGTACTCCACTCAAAATACGTGACAAAAGGAGATCCATATTGAATATATTCAAATATTTTATTAATTTAAAGGTAATTTATTATATGTTAGAAAGTAACTTCCATGTTATCAGGAAATAACTATTACATCTTATACATGATTAATTCCCATTATTTTTTCCACCAATGTTATTGACAATCCATCAAAGATTTTATCTTCTTTTTTCATTCTACATGAAAAACAAAAATGAAAGAAAAAAACAATCGGTGATTAAACAGATTTATAGATAGTTACTTCTGAACTATGCAAAAAGTTACTTCCAATTAACATTGAAGTTACTTTTAAAAATAGTTAAATTTACATGTGCTGATCTGTGCTGGTTAAATTTAATTTCTTGATAGTCATATTTTTATCCTTACAACGAATTTACTTCTAATGTCATGACAGTTACTTCCGTTTTATTTTAAGTTACTTTTATAATATACTAAAAAAATGTCCGTGTGTTGCAACGGGTGAAGTCTATTTTAATCTATGCCCGTGCGTTGCAACGGGTGAAGTCTATTTTAATCTTATTATTGTTATATGGTTTAGTTAAGATGAAATTCACGGTGGGAGTTCGCTTGGATATATATTTTTTTAGAAAATCAAAAGCTGCAGTTAGGAGTCCAATCATCTCAAGTTAGCATGTGAGCTTTTTTAAATAGATTTCTTATATGACTCCTTCTGTCTTACCAAAAGTGAACGATATTAAAAACTAACTCAAATATGGATATGTATTTCCAAAAAGCAAACGAACTTGAAAACCGACTCATATGACGTACCAAAATACTAGAAAAACATCTTCAATTTTTATAATAGTAGAGAAGAGATATACATTAAAACTAAAACATAAAATTAAAACCGACTCAAACACGGATGACGAACCACGAAAGCATCTTCAATTTTTATAGCCGACTCAAACACGGATGACGGACCGCGGAAACATCTTCAATTTTTATAATAGTAATAGATGTAAATTACTTTTAAACTTTATTAAATTTACTTTTATATGTGTAAGAAGTAAATTAGTCAAATATAAAAGTAATTTATGTATATGATAAAAGTAGCTTTCATATGTAATAAAAGTAATTTACAAATATAAATATTTTTTATCGTAATATAATCATGTAAGATCTTGTTCTGAAGATTTAATTGCAATGAGCACAATAGCGTAATCGGAGTATAGATCAGATAAGTAATTTGAGAGGCATATGTAATGAAAAAAAGGTAAGCATGTGTACTGGCTTATCCACTCCACTGCTCACACGGTTGGGTCGCGCGCGTTAAGACTATCGCTATACGATTATAGATAGACCCCGAAAGTTCTGAAAAAAAAAAAACGGTTGCCACCTGCGGGTTCCAATGGCGTCATGACCTGTGGCCTCGGCCAAGCATGCAGATGGTACATTGGTACGCAGTATATAGCCAAACCGATAACGACGCATAGAATCGAGATAGATCATAGATCGCGATCTCAGTGCCGAATTTCTCGAGGAAAAAAAAGATCTCACTGCCGCCGCATCCATGGCCAGCGACCGTCTATGGGAGCTCCCCGATGACCTGCTCATACGCATCCTCTCCTTCGTCCCCGTCAAGGAGGCCGCAAGCACCACCCTCCTCTCTCGCCGGTGGCGCAACCCGCTGTGGCTGGAGACTGGCACCTTCAACGTCGACTTGACGTCGGAGCAATTCTCCAACCACGCCCACAACTGCCTGGCGATGTGGCGAGACGAGGGAGACGCCCGGGAAGCGCTCCGCCGCGACCGCCGCCCCCGCCGCCTCAAGAAGCTCTCCGTCACGGTGACAGCCAGCAGGGACGACGACAACTACTATTCGGATTTCTCGGAATACCTCAACCCGTTCGTTTTCCACGGCAAGTGCGTGCGGATGTTCCGGAACGTCGAGGAGCTCCGCCTCGAGTGCCAGATCGACGCCCCCGCCGGAGCCGGGCCGTTGTCGTCGTCCTCGCCGCCGCGGTACACGTACGCCATGCCCGGCCCCGAGTACAATCTCCGTCTGCACCACCTGCCATGCGAGGATTTCGGGGTTCTTCACCTCACGGGATGCAGCCTGAAAGAGGAGATTCATCTATGTCTTCGGAATCGGATCGCCTACCCGTGCCTGACGACGCTGCGGCTCCGGCGGTGCACCGTGCCGCTCGGCGAGCTCCAGAGACTGATCACCGCCGCGCCGGCGCTCGCCGACGTATGTCTCGAGTCAGTCACCTTCCCGGATCAGGGATCCGTCGGCGGCATGACCACCGACAAACGCGTCCGTCTCCACTGCCCGGCGGTCACCGCCTTCGCCATGGTCAACTGCCACATGTTTTGCCGCAGCTTCGAGCTCGATGCGCCGGCGTTGATCTGCTTCCGCTACGCCCAGATCTCATCTTACGAGCAATCCATCTCGCTGAAACCACCTGCGCCGTGCTTGGAAAAGGCTAACCTGGAGTCAATCTCCGGCACGGAAATATTCAGGTCTCTTCTCCACGACATGTGCCATGTCAAGGTTTTGAAGCTGACGGTGTACTCCATTGTTGGTGATATCAAGTTTGAGCGATTGCCTTGCTTCCCTAACCTCAAGCACCTCGTCATAGAGGAATTGTGTGGATTTGCCATGGGCAACGGCTCGGCGGCGGCGGCGGCAACGGCTATCGGGGAGCTGCTACAAAGGTGCCCGGTGATCCGTGAGCTCTGGATAAGATTCAGCTGGTCGAAGTATCTCCATGAGAGCCCGGACCTGGCAGGTTATCTGGAATCCATGGCGTGCAGATTTGACGAGTCCGATTACTGTGATCGCTGTGCGGTTTCAGCTGCTGACAGGGGAAGACAAGAACTCAACGATAGTTGGAAGAACTCTCTGAGAAAAGTAACTGTGCAATTTCAGAAGGGAAAGCTTACGTGTTCCCAAGTCGAACTTGTGATGTTCTTGGTAGAAAATGCAGCTGTTCTTGAAGAGTTTGACATCGACGGAGAAAGTCAGGATGTCACTGACCAGATAAACACCAAGATTGCCACATGGAGAGCTAGGTCATCTTCATCTAGGGAAAAGGAAGCTCATCCTGCAGGTGTTGGTGCAGAACGTCCTACTCGTCGGCCGCCGCCACAGCATCTGCACGAGACTCGCTACTTGTACAATGGGTGGCACCCTACCTTCCGTAGGTGATCCAGTTCATCTTCCACATGCAAGCTGAATAATAGGGCTCGACACGGTGACCCGTGAGGTAATTACTGCATGGTGGTGGTAATAAATGTTTGACGCTGTTGACTTTTTTAAACATATTTAACCGTTCGTCTTATTCAAAAACTTTTGTGAAATGTGTAAAACTATATGTATATATAAAAGTATATTTAACAATAAATCAAATGATAGAAAAAGAAATAATAATTACTTAAATTTTTTATTTTGGGATGGAGGGAGTAGTAATTAGAGGCAGAGCATATACGTAGTATATTATCAAGATATCATCCGTTGCACAATTTTGACGAGACAGAACAGAGTTCGTTCTCGCCAGCGATCTATCATGGTTCGCAGTTTTCTCCGCCGAAAATTTTGGATTGAGCCAAATTTGGTTGGATCTTATTCAAACTGTACCAAAATTTATTTCAGCGATCTATCATGCTTGCTGCTTGCTGTGAATTTTGCTGCTTGCTGCTGAATTTATGGTGCTGGGCTGCTTGCTGCTTGTAGGAACTAGGAAGTGAACAATTGGATGTGTACATGTTAAACTGAATTGCTGCACTGTCTCATATTCATGCTCAGCCTATGATTATCATCTGTTTAAAGTATAGCTGCATATATTTGCCATTACTCCAGAAAACTCCATGTGAGCTATTATGCTGAAAATATATATATATATAAAAGGAGCTGCTAGTGAAGCCTGTAATATATCATATGGAATGTGCACTGACTAGTACATATATACTTTACTTTTTTCAGATCAGACAAAGAAAAAGTAACTCCAACAAGAATTCACTGAGAATGACGACATGGATGTCCATGAATGACTACTTTTGGAAGATGTTGAAACTCTGTTTGATTATGCTATTTTGCTACGTTGAGACAATTTATGCTGGTGATGTATTTTATTAAGCCTATTTGGAATGTTTGAAACCTATGTAATGGACTGTTATGGACTGTTAAAACTATTTGTCATATGGACTGTTATGGACTGTTAAACCTATGTAATGGACTGTTATGTTATGAACTTTAAAACTTATGTAATGGATTGTTAAAGCTATGTGATGAACTGTTAAAACTTATGTAATCTTATAATACGAATTCAATGCCAAAAATCGGAAGGAGAATCATGCCACGTGGCAACCCATGTTTCGCGGAAGAGAGGCTCGTACAAACGGTCTTGCGCGTGCGTGCACCCGCGTCCAGACTCCAGAAGTTTCTCTGCAAATGTATCCATCAATCAATTAGGCCCATGGGCCATGGCTCAGTAGGCCGTGTGAACTACGCCGTGGCACAAGAAAATGCTGGGTTGTTCTTTTCTATAGAGATTCAACTATACAGGGATGAAACTAGATATTGTAGTCATGCAAACATCTGGTACAAGCTCATGGATGCATGAACAAGCATATTCAGTAATATGTTTACTCACTAATTTTACGCACAACCATATAGGCTCCCGTCGTTAGTCTTATATGAAATTAGCTACTGTCAAAATTTAAATTTTAGAAGCTAATTTTGATGTTGATTTTTAAGTTTTTTTCATCAAAATTTATTTTTAACATTGGTTTTTAAATCGCTAAGAATATATAAAAATATACCCTAAAATTATTATAATTTTTACTGATATGCCGTACGGTGTATTATCCGCATATGCCCAACCTATATGGAGGCCAGAATACGTACAGCACAGGAGAAATAAAGAAATAATGATCGATCATCCATTAATGATGAACATAAAACGATATATATAATTAATTAGAAGTATATATATGTAGCGATATCCTCTAGAGGTGCTCCAACCGTAGATCCGGTGTACAGAAGGCAATAAAAGGTTATGGGAGAGAATGTGCTAAGACGGTGGAGTGAGAGGAAGAGCGGACAAGACCGCCATAGCTGAAAACCCTATCGACACTGGTACGAACTGCCCCAAAATCACTTCACCCCCACCATTCTTAGGGCTCGTTTGGATTATTGATAGAAAAAAAAGATAGAAAAAGTATATAAATAGAAATGGATTATAAGTGTACAACAGAGAAATAAAAAACAAAAGAATTCATCAGTCGAGGGCATTCAGATTACAAGAATTTGATAGCATAGGACTTGTGTGTATGCAAGAAGAAAAAAGAATGAGCTCGAGGGATTTTTCTTGTGAAATCAGCATCAAAGAAAACTTTCCTTTGATTTTTCTGCAATTGGTTTCCACATATTCCCGTCCACAATATTTCTTGAAAATCGTGTGAAAATTCTCTAATCTGAAGAAGCCGTTTGGCCTTGTTTGGATCGAAGAAAATATAGAGGAAAAAAATCAAAGGATTCCAAAACCTTTAAAAAAAATAATTCACTGTAGCAGTGTTTGAAATGGAGGAATTGAGAAAAAGAAAAATGCAATAAAAGGTTCCCATTCCTATGATTTGGAGCAAAATCACAGGAAATCAAACATCCAATGAAATCTCTCTCTTTTTCCTATGAAACACAGAAGTCCAGACTCGTTTGAATTATTGCATTGCCACTGTACGTCTGGCAAAGCTCAGGCAGCTATTGCTGCCTGCCTGCCTCTTACCAGAGGAGTAAAGAGCTAACAATGCATACTTTGTTAGGGATTAAAAGAGAATAATAAGGATGCAATCAAATCACCAACTAAAATTGCATATGTTTGTCCAAACATCTATCCTTTTACAATTCATGTGTTTTATACTTTGTATTCTTCTGTTACATACGTATCCGCAGTCCTATGTTCATATTCCTACATGTTTTCTTTATGTGTTTTCCTCCGCATAAAAGAAGAAACTTTTCCTCTCGTCGTCCCTCTATTTTAAATTGTTACTACCCATTAGACCCAATGGGCCAGGCTCACAGTACAACGGGTGGCAAAGCCACACGCTTTTTCAAGTGGATTGTTAAAGCTATGTGATGAACTTGTAATGGATTTATTGGTGTATGCAACTATAATAGACTAATTGTTTCCAAGATGACTTATTTCTTTTGAAATCATGAATTATATGACTGCAAAATTGTTCTCAGAGCGTCCCAGATTTTTTTTCCCATAAATTTCGGAAATTTCGGGCGAAATTTTCAAATTTGAATTCAAAAAATTTCGTACGAAATAATTCCGAAATTTCGGTTCTATCTCCCCCCTGCGGTAGAAAACGTGATTTCGAAATTGCAAACCCTGTGCCATTCTGCCAGGATCATATCTGGTTCCAAAATGAAATTGACAGGGTAACGATGCTAGTGAGACTAATCGTGTATAAATTGCCATGATTACCCGTCCATTCGTCAGTGAGACTAAGTGACTAACCGTGTACAAATTAATTGATTACTTAATAAAAGGCTAATTTCATCATCAGTTCGAAATCGAATCGGAAAAGCCTTTCTCTTTTCAGTATAAAACTCCGTGAATGGAGGCCACCGTTAACCATGGATCGGCCGGCGCACCGAATCAAGCGGCGAAGGCTGACTCCGCCGGGAGCGGAAGAGCCGATCCTCTCGCCGGTGCAGCCACCCGCAGTGCCGTCGTTGGCCGCCGCCGCCGCCGCCGGCGACGGCTACCCGCCGTGGGTGATCCTCCAGCCCGACGGCGAACGCGAGGGCGAGGACGAGGACGACGAGGACCATCCATGCCTCACCCCCGACGCCGAGACGGCGACGGCCTCCCACACCTCCACTGGCCATCCCATCACCGTCGCCTTCTCCCTCGCCGCGCCCCCGGCGCCGTCGCGCATGTGGTTCCGGTTCTCCTACGACGCCGACTCCGAGACCCGCTGCAATTGCAGCGTCATCGCCGCCCATGGCGACTCCGTCCTCATCAACATTTTTTACTTCAGCAACGCTTCCGTCCACAACCACGAGGACCGCTTCGTTTACAGGGCATCAGCCGCTGCCAGCGACCGCTCATGGGCGCGGCCGCCGTCGTTGTCGATGCTGCCGCCGCCTCCGGTGGAGTATACTCCATTCCAGGACGCCACCGGCATCCTTCGCCGTGGCGAGGACGACCTCGTGGTGGCGGAGCTCACCGTGGAGGGGAAGCTGCGCCACGACACGCTGCTGGGGGTGGTGGCCAAGCTCCTCGTGTTCCGCTCCGGCGAGTGGGGCGTCAAGCGGGCGCCGATCAACCACGGATCAGGCAGTGGTAGCAGCAGTAGCAGAGGCCACGACCTGCCCGCGCCGTGGCCGTGGGAGACCGACATGGTCGTCCCCGTCGGCGACCGGCTGCTGTGCTACGTCGACCTGCACCACACCACGGCGTCATCATCTTCTCCGACGTGTTCGACGGCCATAACCCCGCCCTCCGATACGTGCCGTTCCCCGTGGAGCCCCCGCCGAGCGCTTCCACGACGACGAGGACGACCCGCGCGGATACCCGAAAGTGTCGCGAACCGTGGGCGCCACCGGCGACAGCGGCGGCGGCGGCGGCGGCGCGTTGAAGTTCGTCGACATCTCCCCCCGCTGCTGCTGCGGCAGCCTGAGCAAGGGCCAAACCTCCTGCGACCGTTCCAGCCAAGCCTTCGTCATCAGGACATGGACGCTGAGGATAGGCGACGACGTCAACGGCGACGACATGGCGTGGGAGATGGACGCCATGGTCGACGCCTCCGAGCTCTGGTCCCTCGACGCCTACGCGGGCCTCCCGCTCGTCCGACCGGAATACCCCGTCGTGAACATGGATGATCCTCACCTCATCCGCCTCGCCGTCACCGGGGCGCGCCAGGAGGAAGGAAGAACCTACAGTGACGAGACTGACGAGAACTACTCATCGCTGATCATGGTCGACACGAGGAGGAAGACGATGCCCTCCGTGCCCCCCTTCCTCCACCTGCCATTTAACGGCGAAACTCTCGTTAGCAGGTTCTCCAGCTACTTCAATTCCAATCATAGTAGCAACAATGGCGGCGGCGGCGGCGGCGGTGCATTGCCGAGCAAAATCCATGTCAACATTGAGCCACCGCCACCACCGGCCGCCGTCGCCACCGGCGAGCCGCGAACAAGCGACACCGCTGAGCCGAAGATCGTCCTGGTCCTGGAGAGATTTTCATGGCGATTGAAGGGATACAGCATACAGGACATGGCTGGCGGCGACGATATGCTGAAAGCTTACACCATTCTTAGCCAGGACAATGGCCGTTGTTTTAGATCTCTTCTGGGGCTCCCGATGAGTTTCAACTTTGAGCTAGGATTGGCTGTTGATGATGATCAAGAGTAGTGAAGCTTGTGTCATATGCTCTGCTGCATTCACGATGGACTTAAGCATGCATGATCTGTATGACTATATGTGCGGTTGAATATATGTTGTAATTTGTAAATTGTTACATGCTCCAATAATATGGTTAATCATATAATGACTCATCGGTAGCTTTTCAGAGAAATAACCAAAAAAAAAAAAGACGTGACTGCATCATGCGTGGTAGGACATTAGCACTAACCAGCAATCCACTTTATTTCTTAAAAGAAGAAACAACCGTCTTTCCCTTACACGTGTGTTGTCTTTCCGGAAAAGGAATATCGCGTTTGAGCACCCACCAAACACGACATACCATCATATCATGTGCCTGTGTGGTTGCTACTAGTATACTCAATAGCAGGGTTTAATCTATCGGAAAGAGGAAAAATTTTGGGGGTCAGCGAAATTACGAAATTTCTGAAGTTTCGGATTTTTTTGGAAATTTCGTACGAAATGTTCAAACAAAATTTGAATTTAAACATCAAATTTTGGGAAAATTGACCTACACCTCAATGGAGTAGCAGAGCAAGAAACGGAACACAGGAGAATGAAACTGCGAGGTCCCCACATCTTGGACTGCCGTTGTCATCGATGCAATTTGCCAGAGAGTGCATCCGCCGCTGTTCAAGCCAACGGGCGGTAGAGCGCCGTTGCTGCATGTTGCCAGATCGAGAGCCGCTGCTGTCTTCGTGAGTTCGTGACCACGTCGAGCCTGAGAGCTCGCTTGCCGATCCGCATCGCCTCAGTCGGAGACGAGCTGCCGTGCCTGCACATCGATTGGACTTCGCCAGAGACCGCGGCGCCACACCGCCGAGGAGTTGGGGGAGATGCTGCGCCGCCGTGCCGCTTCGGTCGGAAACGAGCTGTTGCGTCTGCTCGTCGCTATGGCCTCGCCAGAGAGCCGCCGCACCACCGCTTTACCCACCGTCGGCCTCGAGGACTCGGGGGAGACACCGCGCCGCCGCACCGCCTCGATAGGGAAGTTGTCCGCGAGTCTGCGCGTCGTACGAAGAGAAGAGATGGGAGTCGGAGAGAAGCATGAAAAAAAGGATCTGAGTAGGGATTGTGACCCATTTTGACCGCGCTGACCGAAATATTTGGCCGAAATCTATCTTGTATTGGTACCCACCGAAATTTCTATCTGAAATTTTAAACCCTGCTCAATATTGCATGTCTTTTTTTCTTCTTATATAATTTTCTCTTAAATTACTTATCCAATCTATAATTAAACTGTATAGTTATGTTAGCCATAATTAAATCTTTACAATAAGATCTTATATAATTATATTCTGATAAAAAAAATCTATGTTGTAAATTACTTTCAGTATATATGTAAGTTACTATTAGCATATGTACAAATTACTTTTAAATTTAACCTCTTTAATAACTTATATTTTTTAAATCACGTATTATTTTTAAGATCTATTAGCATCATTGTACTCTACATAGAAATGTGACAAAACAAAATCCACGTTGAATAGATTCAAATATTTTATTAATTTAAAAGTAATTTATTTAAATTGTAGAAGTAACATAGTGCTAGAGGTCATTCACATTTGTGGGAACGAATAAGTACGTGGCGCCGGTGGGCGGTGGTGATGAGAGACGAGGGCCATAATTTCATCGTCGACTGGTTGGTGCTTGGCATGCTCGTCTACAAGATGATGTACGGGAAGACGCCGGGGACAGAGCCAGAAGGAGAGGTTCCACAATGTGCTGCTCCAGGGCTGGAGTTCTCCGCGGACTCACAATAGCGCTGGCCGAAGCTCACCAACCTCACCACAAGGTTTCTCGATAGGGAGCCTACAAAGTGGCTAGGTTTCGCCGGAGGCACCGACAACGTCTGTGTCCACCCGTTCTTCGCCGGAGTCGCATGGGACTTGCTCGGCGACCTGTCCCAGCCACCGTACATTCCACCGTTGGCCGATAACATTGCCATTCGCAAGGGGTTTAGCGTGGTAGAGTACTTTAACAAGCTTAACGACCCCCCACCGCAGAAGACGACGACGCGCCGGCCGCCGCATGTCTTGTACCACCATTGTTGCCATGCTTCAACTGCCGGTCTATGAAGCCGCACAACCCCTAGATCGAGGCCATCGGCGCCCGCGCTGCCTCGTTCGCCGTTGCTTTGCTCCACTGCTCCTTGCTCCGAGCACGGCCACGCAGCTTCGCCCGCCACCACAGCGGGAGAGGAGATAAGGACGAAGATTGTTGTTTCACTTACGTGTGGGTCTTCGTGTGGTTTTTTTCTATTTTTGTTTATTGTGCGACATCAGCGTCACTTCACCTAAAACCGTCTTCAATATTGCTTTAGGACTACATTTACACAGGTTTTAAAAGATGAGGGATAAGTTCTACCCGGTTTTACGGTTTAGGCATGTGATTTAAACTCAATGTCAAGATGAGGAATCTAAAGTGAACTTGTTCATTTTTGTTTTCTGGCAAAAACAGCCTATCCAAGCACACTTTTACAGCTTCGAAAATTAAAAGTTTGCAGGCCCATAAATTACACTTGTTTTATGTCAAATACTACCCTTCCAAGAAGGCCCAACAAAGCACATTTTTACAGCTTCGAAAATAAAAGGAATAAGATCATTTAAGGTCCCTTAACTTGCCACCGAATCCGATTTTCATCCTTAACACGAAAAACCAGATACAACGTGTCCCCCAACTTACAAAACCACTGCAAACGAGGTCCCACGGAAGTATTGTCCCCGTTTTTGGCTGACATAGCACCTATGTGAATAATTTGACTAGGTCTTCATCCCACGTGGTATTGACGTGGCGCTTACGGGACAATTTGATTTGGAAAATAATAAAAACCGTCGGCACATGCCAGCTACACCAAAAATAACTTTAAAAATGATAGGTGTCGACGTTTGATGTCGCGATTCCGGTATTTGCATAGTATGGGGATCGTTGGTACCAGGATATATGCGAGATCGTTGGTACTAGGACTAGCCATGCTTATCTCTGAAGTCGATATCCGGCGTCTTGTCTTGGCGTATGTTGGCTTCATGGCTTGTATGTTGATCTTGTGTCTTGATCTATTATTCCGTGTCCCTTCTCCTCCTAGGTGGTCTTGTATTTATACCTATAGGTATCCCCTTGTCCAAGTAGAACTAGGGAGACCAATATGGATACAATCCGAGTAGTCCTTGTCGTTTCCATGTAGAACTCTATTCATCCTTCCTTAGGCGGAACTCCTCCTATATCCGAAGGTTATTTCCGTATAAGACATGGTATGTGGTGGATCCTGCCGAGATTTAGTCAACTACTATTAGGTATGTGGTATCCATAACCCTGACAATAGGGCCCATGTGGACCCCACATGTCATCCTCACTCACCTCTTCTTCCTCCTTTTCTCCCTCCCCATCCCCCCTCTCTTCATCTCTATGCAGGGGCGACAGTTGACGGGCGGTGGCGAGCGGGGAGCAGGGGTGGCGCGCGGCAGCCGTCGGGAGAGGAGCCCCAGTGTCTCCGTTCCTCCGCCACTTCGCCACCGCCTCTTCCCGTTCTTCCTCCTCATCATCATCATCCTCGTCGTTGTCGCCTCGTTGGAGGGAGGTGGGCAACGCGCGGCGCGCAACGTCAATGGCGAAGACGGAGTGGGTGGGGAGGACAAAGTAGAACTGTGTGTCCCCCATCTGGAGGAGGTCCTGGGAGTCGAGCTTGACGAGCTCGCCGCATGGCTCGTGGAGGATGGGAGTCGAGCTTGACGAGCTCGCCGCATGGCTCGTGGAGGATGCCCTCGACGAAGCACCCGTTCTTGTTGAGCACCTCGACCACAAAGCAACAGCGTGGAAGTCGCAGAAGATGTGTGCGTGGCGGTGGGACACGTTCATCCCACCACCGAGGATGCCGAGGTCGACCGTCGCCGTCGACGTTGTTCACTGCCATGGCCACGGCGGCGGTGCCGCTGACGCCGGGATGGTTCCCCAGCCGGAGCCAGCCATGGCGTCCCCGTCCGCCACGGAAGCGGTAGCATGGGGAGCGGCGCCTTGGCTGCGGCGTCGATGGGAAGAAGGGGAAGGGGAAGGCCCTTGCTCCGGCTGGCCTGCAGCACCGCAATGCTCCACGTGTTCCCTGACTTCCTTTACGTCGACTGCGAGGGTGCCTCCCACGACTTGCGCGTCCTCAATGCCATCAAGGAGATCGAAACTCTTGGTGTTCGTCCGCGTTCTTGGCTGCTACACCGCTGATTCCAACGTCTACGACCTGCAATGAGGCAGCCATTGATTGAAGTTCACATCAAATTAGCTAGTCTTGCAAGATTTAGATCACTGATCACTGAGCTCTACATTCCAGTACTCACTTCAGTGAGTAGGGATGACAACGGGTGGGGTCGGGCACGGATAAAGCAAAACCATGCCCGATCCGTTGCCTAATGTTGCCTGCTCGAACCCTACCCACTAGGTTAGCGGGCAAAACTTCGTGCCCATACCCATGCCCGATAGGTACCCGTGGGTTTCACATGCATAATGTCTCGATAGATTTATAATTTAATAAAGAGAAACAAAATCAATAAATTGCCAAAACATTAATTGTCAACAATAATTTGAATTGTATAACAAGTTATTACCAGCTACATCACAAATAAGTAAAGAGAAAGGGATATGAGAATTAAGAGATGGGCCAAAATCGACTGATATATATGTATCGAGTCGAGCATGGATTACCCACAAGTAAAATGTGAAACCTGGCTCCTGCCCACTATGTTTTGACGCCCATGCCCATCGGGCCCATCAGCAAAATTGCCATCCCTACTTAGCTACCAACTTCTATACTTGCTTGATGTTGCTGCCTGCTATGCAATCTTTCTGCTGCTGGCTTAGCTAGGCTTGATGCACACAACAGCCACCGCCGGCCACCACCACCACCACAGCCGTGCCGGCCGCATCTAGGGAAGAGGAAGAGGGGAGAAGCAGAGGAGATAGAGCAGTGCCCACCACAGTTGGGGAAGAAGAGGAAGAGGGGAGGAGATAGAGAAGAGAGGGGATGAGGTGGAGGAAGTGGGATCCACTGCGGGTCCCGTTATTTTTATATGTTATTATTCGATTGACATGTGAGCCCACATATTTGTTTTATATTTTAAATTGTTTAATTTTTGTTTATGTGTCACGTCAAATGAAAACCGAATTAAATTAACCATGTAGACGCCACGTCAGCTAAAATCGCCATCAAACCACCTTGGGCCTATTTTGCACCGGTTTTGATAGTTGAGGGACTCTTGTATCTAGTTTTCCGGTTGAAGGACAAAATCAGATTCATTTACAAGTTAGGGGACCTCAGAGGACTCTTTTTGCAAGAATTAAAAGTAATTCTTGTAAAAATCCCATAAAATTTCTGCGTTCTAAAAGAGCCCTAAATGGTTTAGGTTCTGTAACGATATAGCCGTTTCTTCATAACAAACATTGAGATACCGATGGCATATCTCAAACTTTGAAAAATTATAATGGCATGGTTCCAAATTACCCTTTCTAAAAAGTATCAACCATGGCTCAAAGAAACATTGCAAAAAAAAACAAAAAAAAATGCGTGTTCTGCTTGCTAGCGAGTACAAAACAACATACATCTCCAGTGAGTAGTCACATCTGAAAGTAGTACGACACCAAAAATATCTCCACATCTAAATTTACAGTGTCATCATGATCTGCTAGACTACAATTCTACAAAACGCTCTCCTCTCACCAATATTGATTTTCCGAAAGTCCACAATTCGAGAGGCCCATCATAACAGATAAACTCATTTGAAACAATTAGAGGATACTTTTGAACCTAGTGCTAATCTAGAATAAATCAGCATTGAAGTTATACAATAGATAAAAAAAGGGTTCTGTATACAGTTCAGTAATTGTTTACAGGGCATCAGCATCTCCAACCATGTGACCATCGATAGTCATATCATTTGCATAGTTTCCACCATGATGGTTTCTCCATCCACGGTTGTGTTGCAAGGGTTGTGCCCTTTCTTCTGCTTCAACCATATGACAAGAGAGGAGCGTGTCAATAAATAAATTGATGCACCTCTGTTAATTTCTTTTTTACTGAATGCCAAAGCTACTTTCTGTTAGTGCTCACGGAGAGCACTTACACCACAAATAGAAGTTCTGGTAAGATCATCTACAGTATGATATTGAAAGTGCCTAGTGTGATGATTTACAGAAGATAGCTAAAACGAGTGCTTCCTGTTCAAGCATGGTTAAACTTGAAATGCCTATATTTTGAGCAGTGCTATAAAAGTCAGCCCTAGGCATTGCATAGGCACCACATATAACCACGCAATTAGGCATTAGATAGTGAAAGGAGGCTAACATGCCCTAGGGGCTCTTGTGCTGCTATTTTAGTGTTCTCATGTCTAATTTTTATGTAATATGCTTGCTAATTGCTTGAAATTCACTAGTCGAGTTGGTCCTAGGTGACATCTAGGAACCGCTATGCACTAGACACTGGCTTGATCCTTGATTTTTTAGGCAATCATCCTAGGTAACGGTGGATGGTTTCTCCAGCTTAGAAAGAAAGTCAAGTCATTTCTATTGGAACAGACAGGCAACAAAGACTAGTATTTACCACTTTCGCCATCAGATGCCTCAGCAAGCCTTGCAATTGCATCAATCAAAGATTGTTCATGCTCCTGCAATAATGTCTATTAGTTAAGTTTAAGGGCACCTAACCATAATATTTTACATTTCCATGTTTACCTTGAGCACTTTCTTTGCTTTCTCCATTTCAAGAGGATCAGGGTTGCTTGCGCTGAAAACCCGCTCCACCTAGATAAGTAGATTATCATCATAGAGCAGATAACACTTGCATGGTCTAAACAAACAGGCAAAGTTTCTTCCAAACTAACCTCCTTTATTAATGACTCCGTATGGAGTATTTCTATGCAATCAGAGCTTTTCTTCCCAACACCATTTTGTGAAGGTGGAAACTCTTTCCTGGATGTGTTCTTTTGCGGCCCTCTGCTCCCCCTTCCAGGACCTGACATGGGGCCATTACGGCTGCTTGACTTCTTACCACCATGAACAGTAGCGCCACGGCCTTGCTGGATTATTCCAGGGTCGCCACCTTCCCATCTAATATCTTCAGGTGCCATCTGCACTCAAGGACAAGAAATAACGAACATATTAAAAGGCCTTGTTTCTTGCTTAAATACAATGGTAACTTTTGTCAAACACATATAAAGAAATACATATATTGTGCTGCCTATGCTAATGCAGAAACAAAAAAACTAATATCATCTAGCTCGCTAGAATTGAACTCAAAATAATTAAATATTGTGCCCTCCAAAAGAAGGAAATTTGCATAAACCTATAAGATAATACAAAGTTTTGATTTGGTGTTGAAATACTAAGATTTTTAAATACTAGATGTTGGAAAGAAAAGAAAGGGTAAGCTAAGCCCATGGTGCATGAACTTGTTTGGAGGGCACAAATAGGTACACCAACAAGCAAAATGCTTGATCCAGTGCAACAATTTGATTAGACTGTTGGAACTAGGGCCAAAAAGAGCCACGCAGGATTATTGAGCTGAAGTAGCGTGATATGGATGCAGCAGTGAGCCAGTGAGCCAGTGAGTGAGGACACACTTGCAGTTCATCACTAACTGTATTCGAATCGTGATGGCAAGAAATCAACATTGTATGCTAGAGGATGGGGCGCTTTGCCATTGGAGTGCCAGCGTCTTCCTGCTCTGCTAACAAGGTTTGCCACCCAAGTTGACATGGCACCATGCTGATCGCTATGCTAGCATCCTTGCAGTGATTCGATCTGCAGGTCACCTATTGAGAATTCCTGATCAATCATATGCCTTGTCTCTTCAGCCCAGTCCTCCTTCGCAGCCATCAAAGGGCTGTCAACAAAACGGTTTGGCAGAGGACCAGAGCAATGGGGAATATAACAGACAAGCACGGGTGGTTTTATGCAAAACGACAATACTACATGCGTCCTACTTACATACAAGCTGATATGGCATGCTAGTCAGCATTGAAAAGCGCTAATATGCTTGCATTTTGACCCTGATTTCCACAAAGTAAGCAAGTTATTGCACCAGAACTGGCGCTTCACATGTTGTTGCACCTATTCGCATCCACCAAACAAGTCTGTGCACCCTGAGGCAATTAACTCCAAAAGCAAACTACCAGAACACAAATACAATGGAATCTGAAAACACAATATATTGGCCCTTCAAAAGTTCAGCAATGAAAATATTTGTTCATTGTTGATATTCAGCGAAAAAAAACTTCTTATAAGGAAAACAAACAGGATATCTGAGGGTCATAGTTCCACATCAATGAAAAATCCAAGTAGCATAATTGCCTTTTCTTTTACAGTTAACAATAGAATAAAGTCATATTATCTGCAAGTAATCGCTCCCCCTTTCTAGTTTATTTTTGTTCCATGTTACATGTCACTCCACGTTTTCCAACACACTAATTTCAAATTTTGCCCCCGTGCTACACACCCTAACATCAGATGCAGGGTGGGTGCTTCTAGTATCTGATTTTTAATTTGTTGTACCTAGCCAGGCACCATTAGTACAGCGGTAGGAGCATGTAAAACGTTGAGCAGTGCACCTTCTGTACTTTTACCAATAAAATAAAGCAAAGGGCATTTTAGTCATATATAGGGAAAATGCTAAGTATCAGTATTTGTGTCTTGTGCATGGTGAAAATTAAAGAGGAACAGAGGGAATAGGTTATAACAAGATGAAAACATATAACAGTCATCTTCTTGTTCTATCCACTTGAAGGTAAAAAAGCATCCATATAACAAACATAGTTTTCCATATTAATTATATAACTACATAGATACCAAGCTATACAATAGTTTCCCACTTAAATTTTAAATGTCATGACATGTCATTTTTCTAGCTTTTGCAAAGTTCGTATTTCGTTGGTGCATTAGGCTGTGTTCCTTTCAGAGAGTTCCCAACTCACCACCCTCATTTTCCGCGCGCACGCTTTTCAAACTGCTAAATGGTGCACTTTTTGCAAAAAGTTTCTATATGAAAGTTGCTTTAAAAAATCATATTAATTCATTTTTCAAGAAAATAGCAAATACTTAATTAATCATGCGCTAATGAGTCGCTCCGTTTTGCGTGCAGAGGAGCTGAGTTCCCAACCTCACCAAACGAACACAGCCTAGTACCATACCAACAGCAAACTAAGTCGTGAAGTATCAGAAGTCAATCACAATAAAAGGGAATTTACCTCTTTAAAGTCAACCCACTCCCAGGTTTCATCTGCTGTATTTATGTCATAAACCAGTGCATAACGATCCTATGATTAATGAGAACAGACATCAGAAGTACTTCAAACAAAGATAAATTTAATCACGTATGAATAAAACATACCAGCTGTGGATCATAGTCAGTTATAACAGCCTCATAAAAGCTATTATCATCAGGCCACCGAGTCATGACCTTCCGTCCGATTAATGGATTTACTGATATTGGTTCAGTAGGAAGACCACCTGATAGGTTCTTATTCATAATTGGTCCCCTACCACTAGGGCCAGCAGAAGACATGGTCTTGATTGCAGAGCCACCTGGTATCTTCTGGCCCTTCAAGCAAAATTGCAAAAAAAAAAAAAAAACAAATAAATAAGGTCATATTACAACATCACAATTAGAGAAGTCTTAGGGTTTGTCTCAGCAGATTTCAACCATCACTTACTGGCTTAGTCTTTTTGCCTTTTGTACCAGGTGGAGCTACTTTTTTTGTTGCTGATGACAATGGTTGCATTGGGGCAGTCAGTGTCTGTGAATGCACAGCAGGAGATGGTACAGGTACAGAAGCAGAAGGGATGGATTGTGACGTCTTCTGCCTCTTGCGAGCGGAGGTGGTAGGGCTGGGCACGCGATCATGTGAACGTTGAGCATTATTCACCATATCTGCCTGAAGCCCACCTTTTGTCTCTCTCCATTCCCTTGAATAAAAATGTCTGAAGTTAAGAAAACAAAAGATGCATTGTGCCATTAAAAATGGGTATCTGCCCAATATTATACCTTATTCTTTGAATGATATCATCACCGTTCACTCTGTTTAACAACTCCCTGTGCTCTTTGTCAGACACTCTAAGTTCCTTTCTAAGTTCAGTGATAAGACCTTCCTTTTCCTAGAAGTTGAATTCAAAATTGTCTTTTGGTCAGTTTTGCGGAAAAAAGAACTGCTAACGATTACACCAAATGAAGATGAAGAATGACAGAGTTAAGTGGTGTTTTACCCATGAAATAGCATCAGATTGTGCTTTAAATGCACGAAGAACAGAACAATATGCATCTTGCTCAAGCTGATGAATTTGTGTTTCCATATCTGTCTGTGGCTTAGTTCTATTATATGGAACAGCGCTAACAATATCTCTCCCATTACCACTAACACGTCCACTGCCTCTTACACCTCTGTTCTGATATGTCGGTGGAAGATCATCATCAGTTCCTGCAACAAATAATAAATTGCTTAGCACACAATCTCGATTTTTTTATTATACATTTAGACTGATTTAAGCCAGTTACTGATAAGATTATATGCTCACAAGTTAAGGGTTTAGCTATTTCTTAATGATTGTACAACCATTTCACATGCTAGTCAATTGAGCAACACAAATCAAATTGGAAATGAAAGATAATATGCTCACAAGTTAAGGGTTTAGCTATTTATTAATGATTGTACAACCATTTAGCTGAACTGAAACCCAGACACAATGGCATATGGTACTAAAATTATACTGAAAGAAAAAGAGCTCTAATATACACACACGTGTTACTGAACTGTAAATTATGTTAAGAATATCATGTTGACTTGTTTGTGCAAGCTATAGAACATTTGTGCTGATCACGAGCTATGCTCATGTTAAATTCAATAACAAGTAGCAATGGAACCATCAACACATCAGCTGCTAGAAACACCGCAGATCAAATCAGGGAGCAACCATTACACTCATATTACTACTATTAGATAAAGCCTGCAGTGTCGCGTCGAACATTTTCTTAGAACAACAATGGTAACCTTCTCTTGGCAGAAACCTGTAAAAGAAGCTCCAAAACTAATCCTAACGAAGCATTCAACTCAGCATTCACTAACAACCCCAAAGTTACGACCTCTGCAGCAAACAAGCAGCTGAAAACAATAACCTATCATCGAGATTTGCCCATAATAACCTACTAGGATAAACAAATTCCAGCAAGCTAGTGAACAAGCACTAACAATCTGCAAGAAATGGAAGAAAAAACAATACAGTAAAACAAGATAACAGGAGAAAATGCCCTAATAATGCCAATCCTGACACTAATTCTTCCCAGAAGCGTAGCCTATTCCAAGCTAAGAAAGTAGCAAAAAAAAAAAAAAACCCTAGCCACCCAAATCTAATGCGCTCACCGCTGCTGTCCACGGGGTTGTAATCCATGGCGCGTCACCAGCACCAGGCACACCGACACCAAGAAGCCCACGAATCACACCCACAAATCAACCGCCGCCGCTGCAACAACCACCACCACCACTAACGCCACCGTGACTTGCCCTTCCTCCTCCGAGCCCGAAGAGAAACCCCCCGACCCAGATCCGGCGTCCCCCGGGCCGGAGCAGGCCCCCCTTCTCCCGCCCCCGCGCCGACAGAGCCGCGGCTCCGGGAGGCGAATCCGTGCGGCCGCGCGGCGGATCCCGGCGAGATTTGGAGGCCGGATTCGGGAGGCGGTGGGAGCGGGGAGGGGAGGGGGCCGAGCTGAGCTGGGCGCGTGCGTGCGGACAAGGGGCAGAATTATTGGAGGGGCAAAAGGGTAATTCGTCGGACGCCAAGGGGATTATATAGACGATTGGGTTTCAGGTCCGGACCGGCGGGTGCGGGTATAGGTGGCCAAATGGGCCGGGCCAAACGGGCGGCCCGCGGCACGGCCGTTCCTGTAGCAGGCACGGCCCGGCACGGCCTGCTACAGTAACGGGCCGTGCCGGCACGGCCCGTGTAGCCGTGCCGTGCTTGGGCCGCTGGCCGAGCCCGCGGGCCGGCACGGCACGGCACGGCTCCTGTAGCAGGCCGGCACGGCACGGCCCGCGCACGGCACGGCCCGGCACGGCCCGTCAGGCCGAAAAGCGCCGGCGGCGCGTGACAGACTGACAGGGCGGGCGGCGGTCCAACGGGAAGGCGACACGTGGCACTAACGGCTATTTGACCGTTCAAATTTGAAAATAACCGTTGGGAGGCTAAAAAATTCATAAAAAATTCGAAAAAATTCCAAAAAATCTCAAATTTCGCCCTATAAATAGGGCATGAACCCCAGCCATTTCTCCTCATCCCACACTCCTCATCTTGTGCTCTCAAGTGTTTTAAGTGCTCTCTTTGTTCTCAAGTGTGCATTTTTTTTGATTTTGACAAAATTTGCTCAAATTTTGTCAAAAATCAAAATTAGTTTCGTAGTTCAACAGTTTGATCGCAGAGGTTTGAAGAGCTCGCGGTTGGAAAGATGTAAATAATATTCAAATTTGTGTATTATTTGTATTGTGTTTGTGAATTCAATAAATATTCGAAAATTTGTTTATGTCGGTTTAAATTTTCAGAATGGATCCGAACTTTCCATACCAGTCGCCGTCGTTCACCTTGGGTGATTTCGACCCCAACTACATGTCGGGGTTTGACGGTACCTCCGGATCGGCTCCAACTCCACCATCTGTGGAGGAGGTACCGGTTCATACGGCTGTCGTTGAGGAGGTACCGGTTCAGGCGGAGACAGCTTCGGAAGGATTTTCCGGAACCGCGAGCGGAAGTGTTTCGACACACACCGGCTCGAAGAGATCGAGAACCTCCGGTGTGTGGCAAAGCTTCGACGAGATAAAGGAAACATGCCCCGACGGAAGGGAGGTATCGAAAGCCCGTTGTAGAATATGTAGGCAAATTTTATCTGCTCGTTCTTCTGGTGGTACAGGTCACCTCAAGCGCCATGCGGAGTCGTGTGCCAAGAAGCAAGGAATACAACTCCGGCAGCAGCAACTTATGCTAAACCCAGACGGTACGGTACGCAGTTGGGAGTACGATCCCATGGTTGCTCGGGAATCTCTTGTCCGGTTAATCGCCAGGCAAGATTTACCCCTGAACTTTGGGGAGTCCCCTGCTTTTGAACATTACATTCAGCAATCTCATAACCCTAGGTTTAAAGCTGTGAGTAGGCAAACATCAACTAGAGATTTAGAGAATGTTTATCACAAGGAAGCAACTGCACTTAAGGAACTGTTTAGTACATGTACTTTCTCTGTTTGTGTTACTTCAGATATATGGAGTAGTAGAGCTAGAGAGGATTATCTTAGCGTAGTTGTTCATTTTGTTGATGATGATTGGCAATTACAAAAGAGAGTTTTAGGGCTTAGGTTAATAGATGTCTCACATACAGGAGAAAACATAGCTGAAAGAATTAGGGAAGTAATTAATGAATTTAATCTTGCTGATAAAATATTTGCTGTCACCCTAGATAATGCATCTGCTAATTCTAGGGCTATTGAAATATTGCAACCTTTATTTTGTGTGTATGCTCAATCTTTTCTACTCCATCAGCGTTGTGCATGTCATATAATTAATTTGATTGTTAAGACTGGCATGAAGAGGGTAGGTGACCACATCGATGCTGTTCGTCAAGCAATCGCGTGGTTAACTGCTTCTAACCCGCGGATTGCTGCATGGAAGAGGTTTTGCAATGCGGCCGGTGTGGAAGCTCGTAAGTTTGCCACCGATGCAGAGCATCGGTGGAATGCAACGTATTTAATGTTAAAAGTTGTTTTACCTTATAGTAGTTTACTTTCTGATTTTGTTCAGTCACGTGGTGGCCCAAGAAACAGTGACGGGTCTTCAGTACTGAACGAGCATGTTTGGGCAATTGTCCAAAAATTTTACCAATTTCTAGAAACTTTTTATGATTGTACTCTAACTTTGTCACATGTTTATTATCCAACTGCTAATATAATTTTGCACAACCTTCTTGAAATTGCTACTTTATTTAAAGAATACGAAAATGATGACGTTCTAACTGAACCTGTCTTTCACATGAAACAAAAATATTTGAAATATTGGAAAAATATACCTATGTTGTATGCTCTTGCTTTTGTTTTAGATCCTAGGTGTAAATTAAGGGGATTGTCTGCTATTTTATCACTTGTTGGAGATACTATAGGTGTAGATTATAGTTCTTTTTATACTGAGGTTAGACGTAAATTATATGAGGTTTTTGGAAGATATGAAGTAAAGTTTCAGGAAGTTCGCCAGCGGAGACCCCCTCCTATCCCCACTACAGGTAAGAAGAAGATACAGTGGGGTAGGATTTGGGGTGGATCGTCTTCAAGTTCAATCCAAGGTGGTGGCAGTTCGTCGGCTACAAGTGGAGACGCCTCTTCGCATGTTGTGGCCGAAGAGTTGTCCGGTTATTTGGACAGCGACGCCATCCACCACGAAGCACAAGATTTCAACGTCCTCGGGTGGTGGAATGACCACAAGATAACATATCCTGTGCTTTCAAAACTAGCACGGGATGTGTTGACGGTGCCCGTGTCGACGGTGTCCTCCGAATCGGCCTTTAGTCTATGCGGCCGAATCATCGAAGACCGGAGGACGACTCTGCGCAGCGACCACGTCGAAATGCTACTAAGCGTTAAAGACTGGGAGCTTGCTCGACAACATGCCCAATACACTGCGGACAACCAAGAATTGGCCGCCCACTTTGAGCAACTCTACCTGGATCCAGACCAACCCCAGTAGAATTTTGTTAGAAGTAAGTTCTGACCTTTGAGCTGTACTCTTTTCTTTGTCATGGTTTTCTCATTTTCCCCTATGAGTTTTTACATGACAAAGTTTTTAACGAGGCAGCATGTATCATTGTATCCTGTAATGATATAAACATTAATAAAGGTCATTACTATTTTTAACAAATTCTTTTGCAATATTTTCGCAAGTGTGGATTTACCTTTAAATTATTTCAAAATAATGAATCACAATCTATATTTTTAAATTTTTCAACACAACAAAAAAATACCATTTTTTCTTTTTTTTTAACATTAGCAAATCATTACTTTTTTAAAAAACTTTTATTTCCATTTTTTAAATACCATTTTTTCATTTTTTAACATTAGTAAATCATTACTTTTTTTTAAACATTTTATTTCCATTTTTAATTTTTTTTCCTTATACATTTCCTTTCCTTTTTTTTAAAAAAAAAAAAACACTGTGCTTCACGGGCCGCCGTGCCCCGAACGGCCCGTGGGCCTCGGGCGTGCCGTGCCGGCACGGGCACGGCCCGGCCATCCACGGGCCGTGCTTGGGCCGGCGGCTCGGCACGTGGGCCGGCACGGCACGGCCCGTTTCATCAGCCGTGCCTAACGGGCCGTGCCGAAACGGGCCGTGCCGGAACCGTGCCCGTGCCGGGCCGGGCCGTGCCGCCCGTTTGGCCACCTCTAGGTGCGGGTGTCACGTGCGGCCCGGCTGACTTGTCGGCTGTCGCCTTGCCTGTGCTCCTTACCGTTGCAGTAATTGACCGAGTAGGATCAGGTTGGTTTGGTTTGTGGCCTAAATAGACCTTACCAAATTTTATCAATGCTAAAATTTGGTAAGTTTTGGCATGACTAATTTTGGTAAGGCAAAGTTGTGTTTGGATTGAAGCCAAAATAGCTTAAGTTCACTATTGAAATAGACTATTTTCTTAGGCATATCAAAATTTGGCTTCAAACCAAATAAACACTAAACACTACTGAAATTATCAAATATTGGTAAGTCTAATTTAGGCCTCAAACCAAACCAACCCCAAGTCCCCTTAAGAAAATAAAGTACTCTATATTAGTATGAGTTATCGTTCTAGTTAATTTAATATATATTAAGGGCACTTTGATTTGTAGGAAAAATGTAGGAGTTTTGGAGGATTTCAATCCTATGGAAAAAAAATCCTATGAAGGCCTTTGAAACAAAGGATTGAATCCTATCCAATCCTTCAAAATTCCTATGGAATGGGTAATTCTATGCACATTTTGGAGGAAAGTTAGCATGAGGTCTAACCTCTTGGACATTTCCTCTGAGTCTATCTCTCTCATCTGATTCCTGTGTTTTCCTGTGATCCAATCAAACGGCCATTCCTGTCTTTTTTCTGTGTTTTGCAATCCTCTGTTTTACAATTGTATTCCTGTCAGAATCCTGTGTTTTTCCTATTCCCCTGTTTTTTCATTCCTACGATTCAAAGAGGCCCTAAGGTTTAAAAAAATCATAATATTCTTAACTAAATCGACCCTATATCTCAATAAGTGGTTTTACGATCATTCATCGTGTGACACATCCAACAATCAAAAATGATCTGATGATTTGCATTCAACGGTATCCGCCAACGCAGCCCCTAGCATTCACCCACTCTTGCGCCCCCCACACCCCCTCCCCCCATCCAGACCGCATCCCCCCTTCCCGCCAACGCCACCCCCAGCATCCACCCACTCCTGCGCCCCCCCCACACCCCCTCCCCCCACCCAGATCGCATCCCCCCTTCCCCGACCCCTCCATCACGCTACAAACCCTAAACCTAACCTCCCTCCACCAGGAACTCCGTCGTCGCATGACATCCTCCGCAACACACATCGCGATGCCCCCATCGTGGTGCCCCCCTCCTGTTCACCGCGCTTCCAACCCACCTCCACCGCCGAGACCCCTGCGCTCTGCATCGCCGCCGTCCGCCGCTCCTGCTCGTCCGTATCCACGATGCCACCGCCGCGCCCCCATCATCCACAACGTCGCCTCCCTCCCTAGTGTCCCCATCCCTTCCTTGC